TCGTCAAGCGAGAGGGGGGACGTTAAGATATGGCGATTTGCTGCTATATAGATTTTGAGAAAGGAAGATAAAGTAGACACAACATACTAACCTGTATTATAAGGTTAGTTCGTTGTATCCACGATTACCAAAGCGTGGGATCGTCGCCCTCAGAAGGCTGCCACTCCTAGGCCCCGGCCTATACCGTCTATTGACAAATCCAGGACAGAGATTTCAAGTCCGAAATGAGGAAGTTCATGACATAGTATCTGCTATCAGGGATATCTCTGAATAAATATCTCTACATGTAGACATACATTGATCCTGAAAGAAAGTGGAGGTCCATTGGTGTTTTTTTTTTGCAATTGCATTACCTCGTTGGTCCCAGAACTGGGACCAAACGCCCCATAAGTCAAAACTTGTGCGGGGTTAGGTAAGCATCCAGACACAAACATCCATGGCCTAACTAAGATTCGAACCTATGTCTCGGTGGGAGTCCCCATACGAACTCAGCGCATTCACGCTCTCGACCACCGAGCCGCCTATTGGATTGGAAAGAGCTTTCCTCCATAGCACCGAACAGAAAGTTTATGTTCGGTGTCCATAGGTACTATGGTGGTGATTCATTTGATCAGAATCTAACAACATAAATGCCCGTTCCAACTCGACCATTCGTTATCTCACCCCTGATTTATAGATTCAATAACGTAACGTAACGCCTCGCGTAACGCTAGTACTTCCGTTACATGATAGAAGGTGAAACATAGGATTTTTTTTTAGTACTGTTTATGGAATGAAGTTCTGCAAAACACTGATAGTGACTGCAACGTGAGAGACGCCCATTTCCATATTTCTATGTTCGCGTTGTGGAACGGTGACAGAACGTTACACAAAAGGGAGGTTGGGTTTATTGTTTGATTTTTTTTTTTTTGTTCTAAAATTTGTTCTATCCGTCATTCGGTTGCCCCCTTACGAGCAACCCTCAAAAGTCTTCGAAAGTCTTGTGCGAGCAAGGAATGACGGGGGCCTTACCTTTTAACGTGTGATCCCAAACACTTGATTCACATTAGGAATTGATTAGTGATAATGTATAATTGTTTTACATACAATATTGATTGAAGAGTCCTGAGAAGGCTCATAGAGAATATTATTCCATTTTATATAAGTCAAATCATTAATTGGGGAGATTCATATTTGTTGCTTTTTGATGTGTGGTATTGAAGCTGAATCAGATGGTTACAAAGATTAATATATTTGAAAAATTGTCGGGCTTGGGGATTGTTTTCATAGACATGAAGGTATATACCTTGAAAGAAACCTTTAGATTTTCAATATAGGTACCTATTCAGAGGTCCTATCTTGAACTGGCGACATTCAATTGCTAAAAGTGCATCCCAAAAACTTGATTTTCTGTTTCGGGCCAGGAGCTATTTCACTTCCAGTCAGCTGCTCATGATCTATAAGGCACAGATCCGACCTGTCCTGGAATACTGTTTCCATATTTGGAGTGCAGCACCCAAATATACCATGAACCTGTTGGATTCTGTCCGAAAAAGGGGGATTCGTCTCGTGGGTGATGCCTTGCTCACAAAGTCGCTCACTTCTCTGGAGCACTCTAGGAAAATTGGCGATCTGGCTCTATTTTATAGATATTTTCATGGACGATGCTCCTCTGAAATATCAACAATTGTTCCTCCCTTGCAGTCCCCGCGAGGTTAACCCGTCGAGTTGAGGCTTCGCTCCCCTTCGTGATCACTTTGGAGACCTGCAGAACATCTCTTTCCAAAGACTCGTTCATTCATCGAACAGCGAGGCACATTGCCAATGGAGGTGTTTCCTGAGGCATATAACCTCCAGAAATTTAAGGAGAACACCAATTCCTACCTTATTTCCCTTGGTTCTCACGATGTTCTCTGAACCTTACAGGATATCCCTTTTCGTGGGAACCAGAAGATAAAAAGAAAATCCGATTTTCCTAAGCTCCTATTGCTGCCGCACCTAACAGAATTCTATAATATTCATAATCCAGGTTATATCACCCATTGGTAGAATTGGAATACCTTGAACTTGAACAGATTGATCCTCGTGGTTTGAAACAATACTTATTCCAAAAATGATACTTGACAGTCCTAACAAAAATAATAACACAAATTAATATGACAAGATTGGCGAGTGTCAAATTTATAAAATAAAATATATAAATGCCAACTTTATTTCATCATTTTACGGTACTGATTGCGGAACGTTGAGAGATGCATTATGGCGTTACCACCATGGTAGATCTATAAATCAGAGGTCAAACTGATCCATACGGCTGGAATTTATTTACTAGCTATATTTCAACAACAAATTGCATAAATTCACATCAACTAGTGATTCGATGAGGTGTATATGCATATTATTTCATTTTCAGACCTTCACTAAAGGTTTCAGGACGTGTCCTCGATTCGAAGAAGCTAGGAAATAAAACATCGTTGAAATCACACAAGATGAATTTTCAGTAATTCATTTCAGATGAGATTGACGTAGTGGACGGGCGTCCGACTCATGACCGCGAGGTCGTGAGTCGAATCCCAGGAAGAAAAATGACTTTTTTCAAAATTCAAGTCACAAAATGAATATTGTTGAATTTCGGTGCATCGGCTCGGGATAGTCCTGCAAGATTCACTGTTGCGTCCCAATTAACAGTGCTACCCCTGAGGTGACGTATGGAGTTAGTAACAAAGCCTGCACAGAACACACAATTCAGGATACTTTGGGCTGAAGAACCTCAATGGAGGTCGATGGCCAGTTGGTATGTACAAACATACCAACAAAGTACATATACTACTACTATTTCAGTTACTAAAATAATCACAAATATTCAGTTGGAATGAAAGTCAAAAGAACATTTCTTCTTGCCGCTGAAGCATAATGTCACAGCACAAGTAGAGCGAAATAAGAACGTTTTATTATCTGAAAGAAAAAATTACATAGTTACCATGTGGCCTTGTGTTCACAACGCGAGACCACCAACTTAGCGGCGATAAATAAAATTATTCTTTGGTGCCATTTTTTTTTCCTACAATGACATTCTTCAATGAGTTTTTCACTATTTTGCAATAGAAAACTTACCTGCCATATCGAAATACCCGAAAAATTAGAATGATAAATGAAACCACGTTTATTAGTCAAAAATAAATGTCTCCTCCTGCGAATAAGCTGGATATTTCGCGTTCCTATTAGAAGTAGGGACATTTACGCATGTTCTTCCATATCTGGCTATAATATGGATAATCTAGGCGATTGAGTAAAAATTATTAGTTGTTGTGTCTCCATGGCGCGACCACTATATTACACAAAAGTTTAACCTTCCAGAAGTCTGGTGGAGTCTGACAGGCCCAGAGGTATGCTAGACATGTAGTTTATCAGGGGACGATAGGTGACGATAGCTGAAATTATCAGTAGCTGCCAGTATCGAGGTTCTACTTGTTGCCAGGTCGGTTCACGCATTCAAGAGATGTGAGTGTTGAAGTCAAGCTCAAATACGTTGAACGGGCACTACAGACCCCACCAGACTTGACACGATACATATTTTTCAACGGATTTCAAAGGTTCGTATATATATATATATGTTATGATAATGTTGTATGTCTATTTTTTGAGCAAAATAAAGTTCATTAAGTGAAGTTATCAGTGAATTTATTACGACAGGTACCTCCATCGATCTCAAAATGGGTGATTCTGAGAGGAAGCAAGCTGGACTTTGTGCATCTGTCGGAACTGTTCGTAAGAATTGCCACGATCTTTGGTTTCTACAGAAGGAAGACCTTTTCCGTCGAGTATGTTCGGTTTCCAGAAGAAAATTTCTATGGTATCATATATTGAGTAGAAAAAGAAAAATGTCCTTTTATGGTCAACGCTCCATCATGATGACACAATCGATGTTTCAACCGGTGACAAACATAAATCAGAGATAGTGACATTTTATAATTTCATAAAAAGTGTTGTTGATACTGATTGATACCCTGAATAAGCTCTCAGCCACCTACGACATTTCTCGAAATTCTCGAAGTTGGCAACTGACAATATTTTATTCAATTATCAACACAGCAGGAGTCAATTCAGAAATTATTTACCAAAATGATACGGATGATTTCAAAACAACTAGAAGGAAATTTCTGAAAACTTTGTGGAAAGAGCTGATGGAAGCTCATAAGAACCGTCGTCTATAAAATGATAGGATTTCTAGAGACCTACGAGACAAGCAACGTGTTGACCTGGCAGCTGATGAAACTCAAAAAAGAAGACGATGTGAATTATGTCCAAGAAATTCAGACAGAAAATCCAAATATTCTTGTGTTACCTGTCATAAAACGATTTGTTCGTCCGACGCAAATTTCAGATTTGATGAATGTAGCAACAATGATAACCACGAGTGAAAATAGTTTCCTTCCATGCTCTTTATTTGCATCATGTTTCAATTCAGATTTGAAAACAAAAACATTCGAATAAATCTCTTATTAATAGTTCATTATAGTTCAAGTTCCTTTTTGCACATGAATTTCAATATTAAAAAGTATTTGCAACCACTGATTTTTTTTTATTTCGACTCTTGAACCATTTAACCAACTGGGGTTTAGCATACCCCACCAGACTGAGATCGTCCAGCTAAATCACCAGACTTCTGGAAGGTTAAGAACGTTTAGGGAGAGATGCTCGGTATATGGAGTAACGCGGTGACGACGATGCTCAGGATGGATTGACGTCCAGCAAAATGCGGTTTTGCGTCAGGTAGAAATTCGGCGATAATTTTGCCGCGTGAAAAGAAGGCACGAAGGAAATCCCATATTTTCCAGGAGTGGCAAATTTTCCTCGTAATACAAACAGGAGGGCCTAGTATTCGGTCGCCGCGCAGTGTGGAGAGGCACCAGATCAATATGATATCCCTTCTCGTCTCGCACATCACCAGCATCGCGCCGTTTCACGCTGCCGACTCGAATTTTATTCTCAAAACTGTCGCAAACCCGAACGGGTGGTGGTGAGTCTGCCTGGTGAGCTTGTGATTGTTGGTGAGAGACAACCAGTAAACCTATGTTGCACCAGGACGGGATCATTTTTGGTGAATTAACTTTCATCTGATTTTACGTTCACTCTGCACCAACGAGTTTTCCCAATTGTTTTACAAGTGAACGAAATTTATGCGATGAAAGTACACACCCTTTTTGCACTTTTCATTCACGTCATCCACTTTTCATTGTAAGTAAATATACTAGAATGGTTTTGGGTCGTCCACCCTAAATTTACACGGCATACCGAGTTTGATTTCCGCTGGTTTCTCTGATGGGTAAGTGACTGTGAGTGCTATTATAGCTTACCTATGGGCACATGTTATCTGAATAACGTAAACATTATTTTATTCGTGAATCAACTCCACTCTTCTTGTTCAAATAGTTGAACAAGTATACCTACACTAATCCAATTGCATCTTGTCCATGAACAGAATATTTGGAAGCCTGGCTTTCAGAGTAATTCCTGAAGAGCACCAGCCTCCTCATGGATTTCAACCCAGATATGAGAACAACTCTACTAACTGAGCTATCAAAGCCTGAGTAGTGAATTCCGCATTTCATTCTAGTCTCATTCTCATCAAGTCGTGTGATGAAATAGTTGGAACTGAAATTCAAATCTTCAACGAGTCAAACGTGAATATTATTTCTATGTATGCTAGAACTGAAGATACCAACTTTGCATTATCAATTAACATGCTTTCAGTATATCAACAGTCGCGAGAAAAACAGATTTTGGGTTTTGGGTACCAAGTTTGAAAGGCTGTATCTATTATGAATAAGAGTGTCCCAGAAAATACGGACAATCTTCCTGATCTTAATAGAAAACAAATAATTATTAGTACTGCTCCACCAGAATTTTTAAAAAAAAACACACCCATCTCAAAGATATTCACCCTTCAGAGAGGGAGGACAAACCTGACTTTTCAAAAATATCTGTTTTCCTAATCTTTTTATGCCAAACACGAATTCGATATTTCATTCAGGGACATATCAAATAGGGTTCAATATGACCCCTTACTTTCTTGTATGTATATGTTTTCGTATGATTCAGTTCCAGATTATGAAGTAATTGACCTTTATTGCAGAGAGAAGGTACACTTGCACTATTTTCGAGTAAAATCAATTTATAAATAATAATATACAAAAAATCGTCCATGTTATGGAATTACTTGAATCCAAAGGATAACAAAAATATGTTTCTCTTATAATGCATGATTTGTGGTACAAGATGCCCATTTTAGTATTATGAAAAAGAGTCAAAAATTTCAATACATGGAACCAAATCGTTGAAAAACTTTCACTACTGTGATTGATATTTCCTTGAACAGAGGAAAACCAATAATCATGCTATGTTATTGAATGTCGTGGAGATTACTTTGAGTTTATATTTCCTCTCTTCAACTTTTCCACTATCTACTTTGAGCACTATAGACTTCAATCGACGTTTGTTGAAATTCTGTTATTTCACTGTACCTATTGGGTAAAAAAGTTCGGTCTGTTCACAAAATGTCTTCGAAGTCTTTTCAACAGTAAAAAAGATTTTCCTGAAGAATCACTTCTGCCTCCTACCCTTTGGGGTCAAGATCTCGCCAGGAGAGATTTAAAAAAATACAGTTTTTCGTTTGGAGTATATTTCGTCTTTTCAATGAATTGTTTGATTCATCATTTCATGACATCCTGTAATTAAAATTCAAAATACATCACAAAAACAAGAAAGTTATATTAGGCATAATTTTATTTCGAAAACTGATTGAATTTACCTCCATTAAGCTAGCAGAACCACTTTGAATTTTTCAATTTTTTCTTCGGCAATAATTTTAGGCTAATTTAAGGCTAATTTATTACCCTATTGCCGAATTTATTGCTCTTCGATTTATGCGAGGATTTATGTAAGAAAACGTGGGTTCTGCTAGCTTAACGTTAAGCTAGCAGAACCACTTCGTAAATAAAAGTTCAATCACAAAACTAATTATGCCATAATTTAAGGCTAATTTCAGGCTCCAATCCTAGCCTATTTCCAATTTTTTCGCACATAGTTTTTTTAAAAAAATCATGGGTTTTGCTAGCTTAACCGTTAAGCTAGCAGAACCAAATCTCAAATAGAAGGAATATAAAAATATTGAGTACACCATAATTTAAGGCTAATTTTAGGCTCTTCATTGAACCTATTATCGATTTTTTTGCAAATCATTTTCTGCAAAAAAATTCCCAAATCCAACATGAACATGACAAACAACCAAAAAAACTTCAATCACAAACCTAATTATGTCATAATTTCAGGCTAGCTCAAGGCTCTGATCCTAGCTTATTGCGAATTTTTTCGCACACTGTTTTTTTAAAAAAATCATGGGTTTTGCTAGCTTAACCGTTAAGCTAGCAGAACCAAATCTCAAATAGAAGGAATATAAAAATATTGAGTACACCATAATTTAAGGCTAATTTTAGGCTCTTCATTGAACCTATTATCGATTTTTTTGCAAATCATTTTCTGCAAAAAAATTCCCAAATCCAACATGAACATGACAAACCAGTAGCAAACCAAAAAAAACTTCAATCACAAACCTGATTATGCCATAATTTCAGACTGATTTAAGGCTCTGATCCTAGCCTATTGCCAATTTTTTCGCACACTGATTGAAAAAAAAATCATGGGTTTTGCTAGCTTAACCATTAAGCTAACATGCTCGCTAACATGTGAACATGACAAACCAATAGCAAACCAAACAAAGTTCAATCACAAAACTAATCATGCCATAATTTAAGGCTTATTTTAGGCTCTGATACTAGCCTATTGCCAATTTTTTCGCACATTGTTTTTTAAAACAATCATGGGTTTTGCTAGCTTAACCGTTAAGCTAGCAGAACCAAATCTCAAATAGAAGGAATATGAGAATATTGAGTGCACCATAATTTAAGGCTAATTTTAGGCTCTTCGTTGAACCTATTATCGATTTTTTGAAAAATCATTTTCTGCAAAAAATTCCCAAATCCAACATGAACATGACAAACCAATAGCAAACCAAAAAAACTTCAATCACAAACCTAATTATGTCATAATTTCAGGCTAATTCAAGGCTCTGATCCTAGCTTATTGCGAATTTTTTCGCACATCGTTTTTTTTTAAAAATCATGGGTTTTGCTAGCTTAACCGTTAAGCTAGCAGAACCAAATCTCAAATAGAAGGAATATCAGAATATTGAGTGCACCATAATTTAAGGCTAATTTTAGGCTCTCCGTTGAACCTATTATCGATTTTTTGGACAATCATTTTCTTCAAAAAATTTACCAAATCCAACATGAACATGACAAACCAATAGCAAACCAAAAAAACTTCAATCACAAACCTAATTATGCCATAATTTCAGGCTAATTCAAGGCTCTGATCCTAGCTTATTGCGAATTTCTTCGCACACTGTTTTTTTTAAAAAATCATGGGTTTTGCTAGCTTAACCGTTAAGCTAGCAGAACCAAATATCAAATAGAAGGAATATAAGAATATTGAGTGCACCATAATTCAAGGCTAATTTTAGGCTCTTCGTTGAACCTATTATAGATTTTTTGAAAAATCATTTTCTGCAAAATATTCCCAAATCCAACATGAACATGACAAACCTCGTGACAAACCAATAGCAAACCAAAAAAACTTCAATCACAAACCTAATTATGTCATAATTTCAGGCTAATTCAAGGCTCTGATCCTAGCTTATTGCGAATTTTTTCGCACACTGTTTTTTTAAAAAAATCATGGGTTTTGCTAGCTTAACCGTTAAGCTAGCAGAACCAAATCTCAAATAGAAGGAATATAAGAATATTGAGTGCACCATAATTTGAGGCTAATTTTAGGCTCTTCGTTGAACCTATTATCGATTTTTTTTAAAATCATTCTCTGCAAAAAATTCAACGAAGAGCCTAAAATTAGCCTTAAATTATGGTGCACTCAATATTCCTATATTCCTTCTATTTGAGATTTGGTTCTGCTAGCTTAACGGTTAAGCTAGCAAAACCCATGATTTTTTTAAAAAAACAGTGTGCGAAAAAATTCGCACGAGGCTAGGATCAGAGCCTTAAATAAGCCTGAAATTATGGCATAATTAGGTTTGTGATTGAAGTTTTTTTGGTTTGCTATTGGTTTGTCATGTTCATGTTGGATTTGGTAAATTTTTTGAAGAAAATGACTTTCCAAAAAATCTATAATAGGTTCAACGAAGAGCCTAAAATTAGCCTTAAATTATGGTGCACTCAATATTCTTATATTCCTTCTATTTGAGATTTGGTTCTGCTAGCTTAACGGTTAAGCTAGCAAAACCCATGATTTTTTTAAAAAAACAGTGTGCGAAAAAATTGGCAATAGGCTAGGATCAGAGCCTCAAATTAGTCTGAAATTATGGCACAATCAGGTTTGTGATTGAAGTTTTTTTGGTTTGCTACTGGTTTGTCATGTTCATGTTGGATTTGGGAAATTTTTTGCAGAAAATGATTTTCAAAAAAATCGATAATAGGTTCAACGAAGAGCCTAAAATTAGCCTTAAATTATGGTGTACTCAATATTTCTATATTCCTTCTATTCAGATTTGGTTCTGCTAGCTCAACGGTTAAGCTAGCAAAACCCATGATTTAAAAAAAAAACAATGTGCGAAAAAATTGGCAATAGGCTAGGATTGGAGCCTAAAATTAGCCTTAAATTATGGTATAATTAGTTTTGTGATTGAACTTTTATTTACGAAGTGGTTCTGCTAGCTCAACGTTAAGCTAGCAGAACCCACGTTTTTTTACATAAATCGAAGAGCAATAAATTCGGCAATAGGGTAATAAATTAGCCTTAAATTAGCCTAAAATTATGGCCGAAGAAAAAATTGAAAAATTCAAAGTGGTTCTGCTAGCTTAATGGAGGTATTGAATTTCCTATTTCCTCATGTCTCAAATACTCGAATACGGAGTATCATCAAAATTTCGTGTACAGTATTTATTTTGTTATAAGTATAAATCCTCAGGCACTGAAATATCAGTCTTCCTATATCTAGTTTCTAGTTTAGAAATAGAACTTTACCTTTGAAAGAAGAAGTTCTATCTTCTAACTAGAATAGAGGAACCGATTTAAAGCGCTTGGGAATCAGATTTAATGAGAAAGTCAATGCTTTGGAAATGTTTTCTTAAAAACAAAGAATTTCCGCCAAAAAATTAGCTCGT